GATTGTACGGCTGTATTTTATGTGCTTCGCCCGTCGGCGGTATACGTCGTGCATCATGTAAATACCCGTAGATTAAACTGGCTTTGTTGGGGTCTCGGTCCACTCTGCTTGTTTCTAGGTGCTGCCGTGAAACATTTTTTGCACTGTTGCTCTGCTATTCTGTTGCTAATGAAGCTGCTGGGGTATATGGTAACATATTCCTTGTGCCGTTGCAAGGGAAGGAGAGGAATAACTGGAAGGAATTTAACTGATGTAATAGGAGGAACAACCGTGAGCCTTGGAGAAGAGATTTTGGAAAGAGGTTATGCCTGTGGCACTTGGATAGCTCAAAACCAAAATCAGTTGAAATTGTGAGGCAGGCAGTGAAAATGGGTTTTGACAGAATTAGTGTGATTGTAAAAACACAGGAAAAAATATCTTTTGTGCCCCTGATGTTTGGATGAGGAAAGCAAAAAGCAAGTAAAGAGAGAAATCTAAATTTCTAGTATTTGAGTTATAATGAACACAGTGTAGAAGAGAAACAGGATTTATGTCATATACTTGGAAATTTTAGTTGAGGGTGAAAAGAGGCAATAGAGTTAGACGGGATCCTATAATTGCTGTGAAACATTGGATGATGTATTTCCTTATGCTGAGGTTTGTATACCAATTCTGGAAACAGTTTTTGAAAAACTGATGACCAGATGGACATAAATTTCCTTGCATAGATACTAGACATTTAAATTTGACAGAGTTGAAGCTACAGGAAAAGGTGCTGCTTTTCTGATAACAGTTGTACTAGTATAATTTTTTTCTGGTAAGGAACTTGTTTTCATACTTTTATGGGTGCCTCACAGAAATAGCAGTTCATGTGATAGCTGCTTTTCTCCCACCCTCAGTTTATTTAATATAAACAATCCATTTCCTTACCTTTCTTTAGTCTCCATGGTTAAAATACAAAAACTAGAATATGAGAACCTAAATAAAAGTGCCTAGTTTTTAAATAGATCTTGAACAGGTCTGGCTCTGAACTGAGAATATTTGGAAGCACTATAATAAATTGCACGAAGAGAAAAGACTGTATTCTTAAGAAGGATCTTTTCCTGAGAAGAGAATAGTAAAATTATCCATAAATCACTAATTTAGTCATTAGAACTCTTGTTTGATAAAATAATTGTCTGTTGTTCAAGCAGGGTTTTGTATAGAAAAGGTAAATGTGGTACATAATAACTGGCAGCTCATAGCAATGAAGATACTACCTACCATCTTATAGAAGAAAGGCTCTGTAAAGTTTAAAAAAAAAAGGTGTACCCAAGAACCAGCTGGCAGCTTTTTTTTTCCTTCTTTTTTTTTTTTTTCTTTCTTCTGAGCTGGAATACCTTTACTGTTGAGCAATATGTAAAATACACATTAAGATATAAAAAGTATTTTATTTCTGGTGGGCAGAGGTGAAGGGAAGAAGTCAAAAATGTGTATAGTCTTGTAAACATGCTGTGGGATACTTGATGGATAGACAGCTGAGATCTTGGCTTTAGGCCATCTCTGAAGCAGGCTGTCCCTTGAAACTATGGCATTGTGTTAACCTGTCACTTGTCCACCAGCACTTGAGGTAGCTGCAACTGAAATTGCTCAAGTTCATTTTAAAGTTTGATTGACTTTCACGTAGACATGGCACAACTGTCTTAATGCTCTAGAAAATTATAAGCTTGATAGTGCTATTTCATGGTTTTGATAAGTGCTTATACCTTCTCTCGTCATTTGGGAAAGTCCATTTTGAGACTTAACATGAAATTAGTAATGTTGAATACAGTAGAAACGTTCAGATAAAAGTAATTCTAAATCATTGTAAGCTTTTAAAATATTGAGAAGGGGATTTGGTTCTTACAGTAGTATGTATTTTAGAACCTTGGAGACTGAAGAACTTTACCTTTTTGCATAATAATTATACAGGAATACTTAAAGCTTCTCACATGCTGCTTTCCAAATTTGCTTCAGCTTCTGATTTGCAGATGTCATGTATAAAGAACATCAATTTCAAGGTGCAAAAATCTTGACTGAGTCTACAGGTACTACAAAACTGGGTGTTGACTACAGCGGTCCCTCCCATAATTTGATTGCTTCTTGGGTGACTAGCCATGCATGAGTTAGTGGCTTTCAGTGTGTGAACCAGTAACTCTGAGATGCTTCCTCAGTGTCTTCTAAAGTTAATGAAGAAAAAGGTTCTATTGTCAAAAAGCTCAGTTTTCAAAGGATTCTGAGCCCACAGACTGAAAAAGGTTCAAAAGTAATTTCATGTATTGTCAAGCCAAAAGCCCTTTCTATGTTTGAAAAACCTTAGTGTAGTTGAGGTTGTCAGGAACCTTGGTGGCTGCTGGGCTTGACTGTTTTGTGTAGATGCACCTTAATTATAATTTTTGGGGAAAAAAGACAAAATACTTTGCTAAGGATTTTAGCTGTACTTACAATCCAGAGAAGACAGAGAAGTTTAAATTTCCTTTTAAAAGTCTGACAGCACCTCTGGTAGTCCTTGGGTATTTTTATTTGGCCATGGGTGACCTTCTTGAAATTAACAAGCACTGTTTTGTAAATTCCAGGATTTACAATTCTGCAAATCTTATCCTTAGATAAAAGACAATTGGCTAACATCTTGTTTGCTTCATCCCTTTCAAGTCTGGATGTTATAACAAGAAATCTGTCCAAAATGAGATAAATCTGTAAATATTTTATAAATGTGGTTGAGATGTACTCAAAGGAGTACAGTATTAAAAGAAAAGAAAAGCTTTTGTGACTGCAGTTTGGTGCTGCTGCTGTCAGTGTGAGTGAAGAAGGAATCACCTCACTTCCTATGATATAGACAGCAGTGGCAAGAGGGAAAAAGTAGCGACACTGTTAATCAAATTTCGCAATACCACTTGAAATGCACTTGGTAGCTGCAGTTGTTAGAACAATGAAAGAGTGGTCTTAAAGTTGAATGTTTGAATTGTCTCTTCAGTTTCTAGTAAGTTCTTCTCCCATCTCTTACTATTTAGAATTT